ACACACACACACGCATGCACACACACACCTACCCTGCAAGACAAATTTCATTTCTTTGCTTTTCACTGAACTGTGTATGCGCTTCCACTTATAGCTAATGTGTTTATAACCACTTATATGTAAATATTCAAATTTAGGTAAGTGAAGGGAGTGCCATTTCAAACACATTTTCCCCTTAGCAAAAGATTCATCTGCTAAGATGCTACAAGACCCATCTCAGAACACTGAAAGAAATGATTTGTCTGTTTCCAAACAAGAGTCTTCAGAACTCTGCATTTTTAAATCCATGACACATTCAAATTTATCAGGTTTTGTATATTGTAATTCTTGAATCTCAGATGAAGCCAAAGAATTATAGATCCCATAATGATTATTAAGGTAGGAGACTTTTAAAAATTGTTTGAATATATATTGTCATATCTTAAGAAAATTTAAGAATAGCCTACTGTGTTTACTGCACAAATAACAGAGGGTAAGTGAATTTACATAGTTTTTCCTAAAACTTAAAAGTGGAAGCTTATATGTGAATGAATAGCTCTTTCTCTCTCTCTCTCTCTCTCTCTCTCTCTCTCTCTCTCTCTCTCTCTCTCTCCCTCTCTCTTTCTCTATGAGAAGAGAGAAAGTAAAGGAATTAATAACGTACAACTTGAGTAAGCTAAACTTGAATGACTACAGGAGAACATGCTAATTGAACACAAAAGTTTGAAAGGCACAGACAGTGAGGAACACAAGGGGCTATTTGGCCTTATTACTAAACTATTATCAGAAGACACAGACATAAGCAAAGGGAGTTTTAAACTAAACACCAGGTCCCAGAATAAATATAACACTCATCAAAGTGATCAACCTTTGGGAAATTGCTGGATATGTTTAAAATACAAAAATATTGAAGTTTACATTTCAAGTAAATATTTATACAAAAAAAAATAACAGATTGGAATAAGATAAAGGTCTAGGTTATAGCCATAAGGCAAATCCTCCAGGTAACTTAAATGACAGGTTATGTTTCAGCTTTCTGGCCTGGGAAGTTTCTTAAGTTTTCAAGAGGACAGGAAATGGTGATGGAATCCTTGAGTGGTTAGCAGCTAGTCAGAGTGACTGGCGAGAAAGCCCAAGCCTCCATGGGGAAACACACATTGAGCAGGAGGAAAAGAGCAGGAGCATCTGAATGCACTTTAGAATTTTCTGGCTCACAGTTCATGTGGTTTACTACCTGCTTTAAACAAGGAACTGCCATTGCTCAGATGAAAGGAACAGCTTCCTGTCAGGCCTGGATCTGCTGGGGCTCAGCCAGCTTCTGACGCAATGACTCTGCGCAGCACTTACATCCTCAGGACATTGCCAGCTTTGCCTCTGTCCAGCCTTTAGCAGCGGAGAACCCTGCACACTTGCTTCCCCAACAAAACGGTACTGAATTAGGATCATTAAAAAGGAATGGATTTTTATGATGGCTTCCATACTTGGATCCATTCTCTTGAGCTATATGATTTTTGTAACTGCCTCTAGTACCTGCCTGTGTTTCTTAATTCAGTTCAGTTGTGCTTTAGTCCATTCAGGCTGCTATAATGGAAACACCATAGGTGGCTTATAAACATCAGGAACTTATTTCTCACAGTTCTGAAAGTTAAGCAGCCTAGGATCAAAGCGCCTGCAAAGATATTTTCTGGTGAGGGCTCACTTATTGGTTCATAGAAAATCATCTTTCTATTATGTCCTCATATGATACAAAGGGCAAAGGAGCTGGGCTCTCTTCCTAATATCACTCACAAGGGGTTTATTCTTATGCTCTAATCACCTCCCTAAGGCCCTACCTCCAAACTGAATCCCACTGTAGATTAAGTTTCAACATATAAATTGTGGGATGGCACAAATACTCAGTCTATAGCAAGCTAACTCAATAAACATTTACCAAGTTCCTAATCTGTGCAAGTTCATGGGGATCCTATAACTAAGACACACCCCCAAGAGCATACATTCTGGAACTCTGGCTTTCTAGTAACAGGAGAGCTTCTTCTTCCTTCTTCATTATGTTGAACTAACGAGAAGTTCTTTGATGAAGCAGAAGGTATAATACCTTACAGGCAAGTCTCCTGTGTGCTGGAGCAGAGCATAATGTCAAGAACCCCAGGGAATGCTTGAAATTCTACTAGAACATCCAGGTGAAAATACAAGGGAAAATGATAGGGAGCACAAAGAGGCCGTATCCAATATTTTAAATATCTATCAGGCTGGATGGATGAAGGGAAATCATCCAGTTTCTTTTACTGGAATTTAATTTGCACACAAGACTCCTCCAGTGTAGTGAAACTGTAGTGAGATGTTGTATTCTGAAAATAGAGGCAGCCACTGGACTGATGAGCTATTACGGGAGAAGGAAAAAGGACCTCTGACTCCTGTGAATATCATGTAAGAGAAAACTTGCCTTTCATCCTCAGGTAGTATGGGGAAAATTCTTTCTAGAGATGGAGATTGAAAGTTTATCTGATGGGAATCTGTTTAGTTGGTTGTTTATCAGAAAAAAAATGAAATTAATTAATATACGTATCAGCATGTAAGAATCCCAAGTCCCAAATACAATAAATATTGCTTTATTTTCTCTCATTCATCTGAATACTTACCCTCAGAGGTTCTGCCTTCCAAGACTACCAGGGCCCGAGTGAATGCTGCTAAAATTATCTTTCTCCTGCAACTTTGTTAAGAAATTAAAATGTGAGGATAGAGATCCATGACCCACCATTTCTAGATATTTAGTGGGTATTTAAAGGAATTCAGTGTTCCAACCATCTCTCAGACTAGACCTGTTCTTTCCTTCTAATAAAAATTCCACACTCACTTGGGCATAAGGTTTGTGGGTGTGAAAGAGGGCAGGGGAGTAATCTTAGAACTCTATCGTGAACCCTTCTTGTAAAAATCTAGCATTACTCTCAAAATCAATAAAGCTGTCTTTCTGTCTTTTCAACGTCTGCTTGCCAGGCTTTTTAACTTGAACTGTCAGAACTGCCCTTATTAGTCATGGTATTTAAGTTCAGCTAGAAGACCCTTGGCCCAGAATACATGGCATATCCATACATGCAGGTGTACACAGAAGATTCTCCATGTCCAGTCAACGCAACAGAATGACTCCTTACCCTTTCTGGGATTTATATTTTCTTCTGTACTATATTCTACATCTGTAATGTAAAATTATATCTAACTACATCCTTGAATATGAGGAAGGGGAAACATAAGGGAAAATGAACCACTTCAAAATAGTGTTCGGCAATATATTTTATAGCAAGACTTTCAGAAGAAATGTGCTAGATAATGTACATGATGTCTGAACCAAAAGATTTTATATTATTATTGCCTATTTGTTGTTTACACTGATTTCCTTAAAGTTAGTAATCCTGACAACTGACAAAAGAGTTGAAGCTTCAAGTATTGACAGTTGTATTATAGAATGTTATCAAAGAGGCTCTACGTTCTCTTGGGAGTCTAGTTAGCTCACTTGGCTGACATATAGAGACAATAAATTCATGTCCATGCTGGCTGGATCTTATGTTGATTTGGTCATTAGGGGATTTCCAGAAAAGGAACAGCTTGTGGTATTTGAGCAGAGCCATTAATTGGTACAGATTAGTGTAGCAGGAGCAGGAGCAAGATTCCATCATGGGGCCAAGACTGTTTTCCTCAAACCCTTCCCAGGTGCTCTCTCCAAACTCAACAGGCAATGGAGTTGTGAACTTTGGTAGCAAGGGACATATGATTTAATTAAAGTCCATAGGCCTTTCTGTCCAGGCTCTGGCTAAGTGCTTCCTACTGCCCAGCCTGGCGCTGCACCTTTTCTGTTCCCTCACATGCTTCCCTTCTTTCTCTCAGTCACTTCAGAAAGAAGTTCATTTACTCAGACTCCACATGTGAGGAGTTTAAAGGATTTTCTATGTTAATTTCTTTATGAAAACAGATACATCCAACTTTGTAGAACTTTCCAAAATGGGGCCTCCTCATCCCTAATTCCAACTGTTAAGCCAATGATGAGCTCACTATCCACAAGCCTGGAAACTCAGTCTATCAAAAAACACAGCATCAGTAGAATCACATTATGATGTATCTAACTATGGTCTGAAAGGCTGAATAATAACATGGAACAAAAAAGTGAAACTGAAAAGCAAGCATTAGCACAGGATTTTAAAAGATTTACTTTTGTGTGTGTGTGTATGTGTGTGTGTGTGTGTGTGTGCACATGAGTCCATGCCACATGTGTGTGGGTGCTTAGGGCATTGGATGTCTTGGCACTGGAGTTCCAGGTGGATGTTATATGCCTGATATGGGCACTGTTAATCAAACTGAGGCCCTTTGAAAGAGCAACAAACACTCTTAACTGCTGAGTCATCTTTTCAGCCTCAGTACAAGGTTTTTATAAAAAAAAATCCACATAATAGGTAGTGTGGTGTTTCTCAAATGAAAGTCACTTATTTTAATAGCCACTTTAGTTGCAGAAGTGTAAAGGATGACGACAGTTCTTTATCCACATCCTCAGATTGTTTAAGCTTTCTGCGCATAACATTCCCTCCATCCCTACTTTACTCCAAACATTTGACCAATGACTGGCAGAAATGAATGCATAGACACTTTAGCTTCTTGCCTCGATATCAGGACAAATTTGAAGTGGGACAGCTTTGAAGTGGGATGTGTGCTGTCCCGGAGCTCCCTGAAGGACTGAGCTAGCACTGCTTTCTGGAGGATTTAACCAGACATTGTAACCTTGCTGACTTCTTTATCTTCTAGTGCTCATTTTTCCAGTCCTCTACCAGGTTTTCCTGAGACTATTTCCTTCTTAATCGCTTTCACAAGAAATTTTGTCTTGGAATTCTACTTCTGTAGAATCCGACCTCAGACAAAGCAGATTGTCAAATTAATGAAAGCCATGTAGATTTATTGCCTTTTTTAAAAAAACGAGGCAATCTGCTGTATATTTTAGACTTAAAAAAAAAGCAATCATTCAAACTTCTGTTTTTCAGGAAGAGAATTTGAAGGAGAAGAGGAGTATCTGGAGATCCTTGGCATCACCAGGGAGCAGTCAGGCAAATACGAGTGCAAAGCTGCCAACGAGGTCTCCTCAGCGGATGTCAAACAAGTCAAGGTCACTGTGAACTGTGAGTAGAACAGCAGCAGGTGCTATGTGCCCAGGGCACACCCCCACCTCCGGCGGGCCCTGCAGATCCCATTAGCAAAAGCTCATAGCATTTCAAGCAGATGTTCTTCTGGTCAGGGATGCACATTTATACATTGGACACATCCAAGGGCAAGACTTGGCCTTTGAATTTGATAAATCAACTCCACCAACTCTAAATATAACCTGTAATACATTTAACAGTAGCCTCTGTCTTTTACTCAGACTGCAGAATTAAGAAAACATGGTCAGACACCACTTGTATTTCTGGAAGTCAGTGTTGTAGCCTTTGGGAACACCAAGGTCATATTACTTTGGGAAAAGCAACAATTCATATCTAGTATAGCCAGAATTTTTATCTTAATGCATTGTTTATCAGAAAAGAATATCCCCAAGATTATATTTAATCCTCTGCTATTTAACTAATTGGCCTTGGGAACAAATTCAAGCCACTTTGGTCAGATACTATATGTCCCTGATGGCTAACGGGGATGCCTGGTAAGTTAATTTTCATTACCTACTTATCCTAAAGTCTGGGCATTAGAAATGAAGATTTCAGTAAGATGCATAGGTAAGTGGGCATACTTCGAACTTGTCAGATGAAAGGATCGTTAGATGTAGTTCAAAATGGGGAGAGAAGGAGAGAGGGAGAGAGGGAAGGAAGAAGGGAGGGATGGAGGGATGGAGGGACAGAGGGAGGGAGGGAAGATCTATAAGATGTATGTCACCCAGCAAAGGAATAGAGAATTTGTTTATTTTACTCAATTAGGAATGTCTTTCTATAGCATTCAAATTCAAGTTTCCACATCACACAATTGTGGCTAGTGACAGGAGAGTTGTCCTGACAGGTCTTTCTTTCTATGTATACATATACCATCACACACACTTACCCTACACACACACTATACCCATCCATGCACACAAAATGTACACACATAGCCCCCCCACACACACACATACCTTATGCCACATTTGGAAGTATGCTTTAAACTGTGATGAGCTGCATTTGGCAGTGTGATGTCCTCTATGCTGTCGGCTATGTACCAGATTCTGTGTAAATGTTCTCTATTCTAACAACCCTGCCAAGGTAAAAATATTTGATGGCATTTTAAAATTTGGGAAACTAAAGCCTGGGGATAGGGAATTGTCTAGCAATACAGAAAGCAAATGTAAGAAAAGTGGTTCAGTCTCAAGGCTACTTGATTCTAAAGCCCATGGTTACTTAGGAAGAAGAGGAATTTCAGCTCTTTATACTCCTACATGCAGTTTCTTATTGGAGATTGACACTTGCTATTTAATCCTCACCATAATCCAAGGAGATAGGCATGGATAGTCTTACTTTAGAAATTTGGAAACTGAGGTTTGGAGAGATGAAATCTTACTCAAGGTGGCCCAGCCCATGCTGGGATGCCCTGTTCCTGGGGACCAGCTCCATCCCATCATTCAGCTTTCTGAAACACAGTAAAATCTTCACAGTGTACCAAGAGGAAACTGATAGACATGGCTCTGCTGTACACATTTATGGTCCTCATCCCCCCTCCCCAAAAAGGAGCTGCATTGGATGAGTTGTGGAGTGCTTTTATCCTTAGCTGTCTCCAAACTTTTAATAATAGAGTTTCGAAATGCCAGTATTACTATTCTTTTGCAGTAGTGGGTATGTTTCAAAGATGTATTAATGATCTCAATGTTATAAAATGCTTTAGGTCCTTTTCCACATGAAAGGCAATTTTTCTGGATGTTTGTATAAGTTTATAATGAGGTTAGTTAGCTTCTTTTACGTACACTAACCATGCTATCATTCTCCACCTCTTCCCTGACTTTTGGAGTCAAGATTTCATTTTCTTTTAATTGACCTTCAACTTAATTAGATTTCTGAAAGTCCAATCATGAAGTAAATAGAAAATATTTATGCTTCCATTGTATGAAACATCAAAGTGGTCTGGTTTGCAGATGGTTCCCAAGATCAAAGCTAGAGCTGCCTGGGCCCCATTATTATTGGCGCAATTAGTCTGACATTGCTCCTTCGTCACTGTCCCTGAAGTGTAATTTAGAATAGGAGAAAATTTTTTTATGAAAATATGAGCTTTTGCAGTGATGAGTAAATCATTGAATATGGACAGAACCTGAAGATCCTCAAAAAGCAACTTATAACAAATTACATGCATAGATATGAGTTTAATCCATCCACTACATTCTAGCCAAAAGGAGCTAGAACATTTCTGGCCCTATCAAAATGTTAGTAAGAGTTAACTGAAGGAATAAAGAGAAAACTCAACGTAAACTTTACAAATGATGCTGTTACAAATCAGGAAAAGCATTTTAATACCAATTTCCTCTGGAATTGCCTTACTTAAAAAAATATTTTAGTATTTTAATTTTATGAGTATGCATGTACTTCCTGCATGTAGACAAGTGCACCCCTGTCATGCAATGCCTAGCGGAGGACAGAAGAGGCTGTCGGATCCCCTGGAACTGGAGTTATGGACAGTTGTTAGCTGCCATGTGGGTGCTGGTATTCAAACCTGGGTCTTGTGCAAGAACAGTCAGTGTTCTTAACCACTGAGCCATCTCTCCAGCCCCTGGAATCACCTTTTAAAACCAAACATCATAAGCTAGATTTATGTAAAGCCATTCATTATACAAGATTTCCTGTTCAAATAAGTCATTGTACCTAAGGGTAGCTGCATTGTTGGTCTCCAGGATTGAATTATACAAACAGGTTCTCACCTATAGAGAAATATCCAGGATCTCTTTTATCACTTTATTTAAACCTTCTAGAAAATTCTCTTTTGTTCAACCTGAGTCCTCTTGTTCAAAACAGAAACTTCAGGATTAGGTCAGGGAATCAAGGTGGCAAGAACAACGACTGGTGGGGGAGACTATTGCAATGAACATACCCTGGGTACCACTAGAAAAAGCCATCTTAGCTCTGATAACTTTCCCACTGCCATTCATTGATTCATTTATTCAGCTGCCAGCAGATGTTTATTGCAGGACACCGAGAAGCTGGCAAAGTGAGGAGGAGACACTTCAGTTTCTCCTGTGGAGCTCACAAGCCAGATTCTCTAGCTTCTTTTTTTTTTACTTCTTTTAGATAGTCCTTCTCTGTGGTAGGTCTATAGCATTGCATGTTGCCATTTTACATGCAAAATCTATTTTCTAAATGGTAGGAGGTCCTGGAACCTATAGAAAGCTAAATAATTTGCTCAAATTCTTTACTATTAAATCAACTTAGTAAAACATATGAAATGAACAAAACTTTTGAGCTTCTGTGCCTTATATAGTCACATATTTGTTCTAGATGCCAGCCATACAGATAGTGTCCTTTCACTACAGATTCTAAGTAGAATCTTTCGATTCCCACTCCCACTGCGCATTAAAATGTCCCTCAGGTAATATCTAGCACACAACAATGTTCAACAATTTCAGCCTGCTAGTTTTATTTGGATTCTTTCTATATTGGACTCATTTCCAAGTCCTGGAAAAATCCTTAAACTTTTTCTCAGTTCTCCTATTTCTCCCTCCCTCCCCAGCTGACAAGCTTCTTTTCCTACCCTCTGCCTACCCACAGCCATCTCTCTGCAAGTCTCACATTGTGACTCTTTGCAACTTCTCTCTCCTCTCTTTTTCTCTCTTTCAATCAACTTTGTGTGTGGAGCTAACCAATGCACCCTCTACAGGTAGTGGTGAGACATTCCCAAAGTGCTTATAATGATGTGTTGACTTAGAGAAAGCAAAGCTTACTGAATAACACAAGCAGGCTTGGAGATAACAGATAATAGATGTGTATTTTTTAAGACTTCTGCTATTTTTATTTCTCTCTCTTTGTGTGTGTGTGTGTGTGTGTGTGTGTGTGTGTGTGTGTGTTTGCATATGTGTGTGCATGCATGCCTGCCTGCCTGCAGAGGCCAAAAAATGAGCATTATACCACCTGGAGCTGGAGCTACAGGCAGCCTGATGTGGGTGCAAGGAGCCTAACATTGGAAGATCAACAAGTGCCGTTAACAACTGAGCCATCTCTCCAGCTGCTGGATGTGTATTTTGACCAAACCTTCAGTACTTTGATTTAAAAAACCATACAATGAGGAAACTCTAGGAAAACAGCATCTCAGTGTGGAATTCTCTAGGTTTTCATGACTATCCTGCTCCAGTCTCCACACTAACCTTTATTCTTACATTTGGGAAGGTTTTCAGTAAAGACATATTCTACAGCTTTGTTTTGTTTTGTTTAGATCTGTTATGAGATCATCAGAGAAAAATATTTAGCACACTTTCAAAGTACTAACACTATCCACAATAATTTTGTGATTTAGACAAGAACCGTGACCCTGAGTGCCACAACTATCTTAGAGATATCATATACACTCACTATAATTATTATGTTGCGAATGGCCAACCACATGGGGAGTGTAACAGGCCTGGTCTACCCAGAAAGGAGGTATGCTACTTTGCCATGGATAAGGTCTAAGATTTTACCTTAGCAATGCTAGTACATGGCTACTGAATTTTAAAAAGGCAACTTTGTCCATCTTATTATGTTACCCAAGCCTAAACATGCAATGCTTGTACTTAGTGCGTCTGATGCCTTTTCACACCACAGCAACTTGGAAGATAGTCAATGACACTTCCATGTAGAAAGGAGAAAAACACAGTTTAGGGAATATACTCATTTTCTGACACAAGCTCAAAAAAATAAAACAAACCATGAGTGGCAAACTGATTCTAACCCGGGTCTAACTCTACAACTTTCTCACCATCCATGATATTAATTTAAAACAATTAATGCAGTCACTTCAGCTGTTGAAAGTGCTGTCATATGTACGATTTTGTTTATATCTCTGTGTGATGTAGGCTTTCATCATCTCTATCTGTAGGTGCAGGGCTGAAAAGAGCAAGGTGCCCAAAGTCTAAAAGAGCACTAACATGTATCTATGATGCCTGTAAATTATAGCTTTCATTTAAATCTTATGCTTCTGTTCAATT